CCTACCGTCTCACCCCAGCACTGATGGCAAGGTTCGACAAGACAGAAAATAACAAATGCTGGTAGGGATGTGGAGAGATTAGGACTCTCATACACTGCTGGTGGAACTGTGAAGGGATACACCACTGTGGAAAGCAGCATGGCAATTCCTTAGAAAGCTGGAATTGGACATAACCATTTGACCCAGCAATCCCATTATTAGGTATTATCTTAGATGGTGAGAGCCAGGACAGGAACAGATATTATGCACACCCATGTTCATGACAGCACTATTTACAATAGCAAGAAGATGGAAACAACCTACGTACCTATCAGCGGAAGAGTGGATGACCAAACTATGGTACATACACACAATGGAATGCTGTGCAGTGCTAAAGAATAATGTAGAGTCTGCAAAACACCACATAATATGGATGAACTTGGAGGACATTATGCTGAGTGAAATAAGTCAATCACAGAAGGACAAATATATTACTACTTCGTTGTTGTGGAGGGTCAAGGAGAGGTTTATATATGGAGGGGAAATATCTTTGTTGGTTGCCAGGGGCTGGAGGGGAGGGGAAGGGAGGATATACCACACACACACACAATATATTGATCCATGTCACTTTAGTTTTGTGTATTTCATTGAAATATAATTTATGTACAGTGAAATACACAAAACTGAAGTGTCAAGTCAAACATTTTTGGCAAGAATTATTTTGTGATGATGCTCTGTACTTCATATTAAATTAAATCAGATGTAACAATGTCCAGTTGTACCTTTGTTAGTGATGTTTTGTTTGATGACTAACTTGTGAGGGTGACTGCCAGATGACTCTTTATAGTTACACATTTTCTTCTTTTTGATTAGCAAGTGAATTAACTGTGGAATTTTGTACCATGCAAATAAGAAATGAAAAAATTTAAAACAACAGTTTGTTAAGTGATTTGGTGATTTATTACTTGATGAATTTAATGTGGACCAAAATGTCTGAGCCTTGTTGTTTAGGGTCTTTAACTCCATCAGTTACTACTTATTTATGAACAAAATTTGATGTTCATAGGTCTTAATCCATGTGTTTATGTTGTATTTAATATATTAATATTTCATTTTTAGAATAATTTTATTATGACATGCATTTGCATTTTTGTAGGTCTAAAATAATGTTCTTGGCTCCTTAATACAGTGACTCAACTTCGTAGGACTTAATATTTAGGAGTTAAACCCACTATAAAAAGTTATAATGCTAGGAAACCTTTGATTATTTTATTTAGATCCATTTTATTTTTATTGATGAGTACAATGAAATGGAGCTAAAAATGAGTACTCATTTTGTAGGCAAATCAAACATTCTGTTACTTTTACCATTAAACTTTCAGACTTTGTTGTGGTGGTGGTGGTGGCAGAGAGTATTGTATGCACTGATCTAGAAGATTAAAAGTTGAAGACTAACTGATGACACAGTGAAGATACTGCCAAATGAAAAGCTCAGCAGTGTCCAACAGAGCTACTTGGAGCTCTTTCATTTAGAGCACCTGATACGTGAACAGACTTTTTTCCTTCTTTCTTTTAACATGTTTTTCCCCCAGTTGATAATAATTTACTTACAGAGAAATACATAGATCTTAAGTGTTACAGTCCATGAGTTTTGATATATGGTGTATACCTATATAACTCCCACCCACACAGAACATTTTCATCAATACAGATCCATCATGCCCATCTCAATCAGTCCCCATCCCCTCAACCACTGTTCACTTTCTTTCACTATAGACTGTTTTTGACTGTTGCATATGTTTTTAATCATTGTGATTCAAAACTATCTGTTTTTATGATAGTTTTGTCATTGATAAATAAGTACATATTAATGATGTTTTACAGCTTAACATTGAGAGAAGAAAGGAAATGCAACAAGAAAAGCAAAAAGCACTTGATGTGGAAGCAAGAAAGCAGGTTAATAGGAAGAAAGCTTTATTGACTCGTGTCCAGGAAATTCTTGAAAATGTTCAGGTGTGTCATTTAAGTTCTTTTATGTTGTAATTAAGAAAGCATAAGGATATTGTTATTAAGCATTCATAATAATTCTCAGAAATATCTTTGTACTTACTAGTTAATTACTAATATACTTTATTTTTAAGTTTGAAAAGCTTCATAATTTGTGATATTTCATTTCAGTTACTCCAGAGAAAATTCACTTGCTTGTTAGTGAAGCTGGGTACTTGAATCAGAGGGCATTTAGACAATGGAGACATGCACCAAATATAATTGCTTATTGTCTGCATCTTATGACTCTAAAACCATTGAATTCTTAGTCACAGAATGGTAGAATTGACCATTGTAGTTTACCCCTAAACTAATCAGACTATGGACTAAATGAGGTTATTCTCGTTCTCTGCTGAAGTAAATAGTTGCCCACATGTTTTGTTTGGTTTGGTGACAATTATACTCTTAGATGAACAAATATAATTTAGATTAGATAAATAGAATTCCCTAGATGTATCCCAGATCCAAATGGAAATAACTTAAACACATCTACACCTTTAGCAGTTATTTTTGTTTAGCTTAATTTAAATTTATGTGAACAATTTATTTCAAGATCTGGATCATTTTGTACTAAAAAGGAAAATGAATGAACTAAATTGAACAAATAATTTCTGCTATTATATGTAGTATTGTTTTGCTAGTTACATACTTTTGTTTTGTTTGTTTATAATCTTAGGGGCTTGTGTTTTGTCTGTGTAATTTATACTAGATGACACATGTATAATGAACCTTGAGATGTTTTCTACTAACTGCTGCCTTCGTTATTCTTTGTAGTATGCAGTGATTTTAATTTGTATATTAGAATTATTAGTTTTTTTAAAAAAATATAACTCAGAGCTCTAATTTAACAACTAAGATGTAGGTTTTTGACAGTAAATATTTCTTGTTATTGACAAATGTGGCATATTGTTATTTGTCCTTTGAAGAAAGCCAACAAATATTCGTTTAATAAAATTATCATTGAGACCAAGAACTTATGATGTTGAATTGTACAATAATGAATTAATTGGAAAGATAGAGAAATTTTATATAATATAAATAGATTTCTAAGGTGTTTACCTCAAAACTTGTGATTTAAAAATTCTTTTAACTGAAATATCTAAAGGCTTATTTTAGTGGTATATAAAAAATAGCTGCTGAATATTTAAAGTGTGAAATATTTTATTCAGGGAATAATTTTCATTGCTTAAACCTATGAACATATTCTAGGGTTTCATGAATGTGTTCACTTGTGGTTTATATTGGTCCTGACTAAGCTCTTATATCTTGTACTGTTTATTGTGGAGTACCTGGAAACCATTACATGTCTTGGGATTTGAAAGGTAAAACAGGAGTGCCATATAGTCTATGGAAAAAACAAGCACATACAAAAAACAACACAAAGATATTTTTAAAATTAGAATCCTAGAACCTATAATGATGTGATAATAATTTTTATAGTTTACTATATGCTTATATAATCTTTAGAAGCCATCCTAGTTCACTCTTCTTTCTTTTGTATAGTCAAATTATGTAAATACAAAGTGCAATTCTGTTTTTTTCTATTGGATCTCCTGTGTATACTTTTTCTCAGCTTAATTTATCAAACTTTTACCTATTATGCTTGTCCCCAAAACACTTATCAGGTTGCTGTTCTTAACTGACTGTCAGTTAATGTAATTGAATTTTGTTAAATTAATTTGATTTTAAGCTGATATTTTTCTTATTTCTAAGTAATTTAAGCTACATTTCTGAGCAATCATTATTATAAATTTGCCTCATTTTGTAGGGGGATTTTAGCTAAAAGTCTGAGTAACCATCTGGAAGGTGGAAATCTTATTTCTGAATTACTTTTGCTTAATCAATATCCTGGTCAAGTTAGTCTCTGTTAAAAAAACAAAAAAACTCACTGCCATTGAGTCAATTCCAACTCATACCAACCCCCTTTGGGTTTCCGAGGTGGTAAATCTTTATGGAAGTAGATTACCTAGTCTTCCTTCTATAAAGTGCTTGGTGGGTTTATGTAACAGATTTAATTAGTTGCTGTTTAACTCACACATTGGTATTCTAAGATGACAGCTCTTTTAAGAAGGCACTCTGGTAGCATAGTACCTAAGACACTTGACTGCTAACCAGAAGGCTGGTGGTTCAAACCCACCAACTATTCCTCAGAAGGAAGGTTGGGCAACCTACTTCCAAGTAATACTGCCTTGGAAACCCAAGGAGGGGTTGCTATGAGTCAGGTCTGACTGGATGCCACATAATAACAACAACAGCTCTCATAAGAGAAATAATTGGTGATATTAATAGTATATAACCAGAAAAAAGTTAAGGAAAATGGCAAGTCCATATGTGTATGTGTGTATATAAGATAAGATCATTAAAGAAAAGAAAGTTTATCAAATGGCAATAAATTAGGGCAGTAGTTTATTTTGTAATCAATTACAAAATAAAATTATTCATGGACTTGCTACTGTGGAAGGTTAGGTACCATCTGATGGGAGAGGACCACACAAAATGGACAGTATTTGTACTGCAGTGCTGAGGTTGCACTAGGTGTTCCTTTTGGAATATAGTTTCTAATGCTTTTGTCAGTTTGCAGTCCATATGTGTATGTGTGTATATATGTGTATGTGTATGGGTGTATATGTAAGGAGCTCTGGTGGTATAGTGATTAAGGCATTTGGCTGCTAACCTAAAGGTTGGTGGTTTAAACCCACTAGCCACTCTGGAAGAGGCCATTTGCTTCTGTAAAGATTTACAAACTTGGACAATCCAATGGGTGGCCTCTGTGAGTTGGAATCGACTACATGGTAGGTAGTGAGTTTGGTTTTGGAGTTTCAGTGTGTGTATATATACACATGTACATATATGCACATGCTTATATACACAAACATATATATTTGTACTTATTTGTGTATTAGATGAATTCTTTTTTTCCTTCAATTTTGTTTAATAAATAGACTGACATGACCATTAGATGTTTGAGTCCCATGTGAAATAAAATACCATCAAATACAAGTTACTTAGTTTATTTTTATTTGTTTTTGTTTTTAAATACCAAAATTCTGATTTCAGTCGTGTTTGTAGAAAATAACGAAATCAAAGGTTTTTTGTTTAGTGAGGAAATGTTAATTTTGGAATTTTCTTTTTCAGGTTAGAAAAGCACCTAATGCCAGTGATTTTGATCAGTGGGAGACTGAAACAGTTTACTCTAATTCAGAAGTCACAAACTTGAATGTTCCTGCTACATTTCCAGATAGGTTGCCAAGTCCTACTGAACACTTGACTTCAGCAAAGCTTGAAAATATAACTAGAATATTGCCTCTGGATGAGGACCAATTTAAATCTAATGGAGTAGATTTAGGTAGTGACTCAGAAGGATTTAGTTCTGTCACGCAATGTAATAGTTCAGATATTAGCCATGCAGAAAATGAAGCTTCTCCAAAGCCTTCTTTAGCAACCCCACAAGAGATTCTAATTTCTGATCATCTCTTCCCCAAAAGTGAAGAACAGGATTTATCACTTTTGGAAGAAGTCAATCCCGATCCCTACATAATGAGTCTTCAAAACCTTATGAAAAAGTCAAAGGAATATATAGAAAGAGAACAATCTAGACGCAGTTTGAGAAGCAGTGCAAAGACAAGTTTTAATGAGAGTCATTCAGACAAAGAAAATGATGCTGTTAAAGTGACTGACTATGTAAAGGAGACAGCCCATTTGGTAGGCAAACACTGTGGCTCAGTTATTCCTGACAAACCAAGCCTTAATAAATCAAATATTCTTCTCCAGGGTGCTTCTACTCAAGCAAGCAGCATGAATACATCCATTTTAGCTAGCTTTTCTAAAGTCGACATACCTGTACGAACTGGCCATCCCATTGTTTTAGATTCTGATTCTGATTTTAAAGTCATTCCTACTCTTATTCCTGAAAGTAATGTTATCAAAAGTCTTACTGGTTCTTATGCCAAATTACCTAGTCCAGAGCCAAGCATGAGTCCTAAAATGCATCGAAGACGTTCTAGGCCATCATCAGCATGTCATATACTTATAAACAACCCAATAAATGCCTGTGAATTAAGCCCTAAGGGAAAAGAGCAGGCAGCAGACTTAGTTGTTCAAGATACTGATGAGAAAACAAACATACTTAAAACTGTGCCAAAGTTACCAGTTGATTTAACAGGAGGTTGTTCAAACAAGGTTTATGGCAGCATAAATACATCTGAACCCAAAGAAGAAATAGCTTTAAGTAAATCAAATCAAGTATGTCAATCTTCAGGAAATGAATTAGAAAATAAAATTATTCATGGACTTGCTTCTGTGGAAGTACAGGTGACATCTGACGGGAGAGGACCACACAAAATGGACAGTACTTGTACTGCAGTGCCAAGATTGCATGAACCATATGGCACCAGTCAGTGTACAGCAAGTCAAAACTTTGGAGTGGTGAGTGGACTTAAGTCAGCCAGTATGCTAGAGAAAAGCTCCTGCAATTTACAAATGGAACTGAATAAGTCTTATGATGTAAAGAACCCATCTCCTTTACTGATGCAAAACCAGAATAATAGACAGCAGATGGACACACCTTCAGTGTCCTGTGGAAATGAACAGTTTCTGGAAAACAGTTTTGAGAAAGTTAAACGGAGACTAGATTTAGATATTGATAGTTTGCAAAAAGAAAACTACCCATATGTCATAACAACTGGAATGGCTCACCTGGAAAGGCAACCTTTGTTGGAAAAAAGATACCCCAAGGGATCTGTCTGTGTGAACAAGAATAGAATGTTAGAAAACAGTTCAAAAGGTAAGGAAACTTTGAATCATTTGATGCGTATAAAGCAGATGGTACCTTTATTTTAATACCTTTAATTGACATTAATAAAAATAAGTTTTCATATGTTCATCAGGATACTTAATTTATCATATTAAAAAAAACAAACTCACTGCCATCGAGTTGTTTCCAACTCATAGCGACCCCTCCTTGGGTTTCCGAGGCATTATGTCTACGGAAGTAGATTGCCCAAATCTTCTTTCTGAGGAGTGGCTGGTGGGTTTAATGACTAGCCTTCTGGTTAGCAGTCATATGCCTTGGGCACTACACCATAATTACAAAACCAACAAAACAAATGTGTTGCCATCGTGTTGATTCTGTAATCTTTACAGTAGGAGACTGCTGCATCTTTCGGCCACAGAGCAGCTTGTGGGTTCCATCGGCTGACCTTTTCCTTTTGGTTTAGTAGCTGAACACTTAACTACCGCACTATTTATTGCCATTTGATAAACTTTCTTTTCTTTAATGACCTTTCTTATTTAAAGTGTGAAGCTTTGAATGTCCACTTGGTATTTTAGAGGATACTCAGGAAGAAGTTCTTGCATGAAATACCATGCATAACTTGAATCCATAATTTTAATGTCAGTCTTCAGGAAATCAATTACAAAATAAAATTGTTCATTGCTACTATGGAAGGTTAGGTACCATCTGATGGGAGAGACCACACAAAATGGACAGTATTTGTACTGCAGTGCTGAGGTGGCACTAGGTGTTCCTTTTGGAATATAGTTTCTAATGCTTTTGTCAGTTTGCAGTTTCATTTGTAATGAGAGTTTCATGTAGAGGGCCCTTCAGTAAACACATTAACATCAAATTATTAGAGAAAATATCACAAATGTTATTCACTCTGAATGGGGTTTCAATAATGATGTTTTGATAAAATTATGTTTTCAAATTTCTTTCTATTGCATCTACAGTTAATTAACAGCAATTTGTTAAAACATGTCTTTTTCATTACTCCTTACTTCGTTGTCATGGTTAATAATCCTTCATAACTGATTCAGAAAACATATAAATAAAGTAAATTAGTTCTTAGATACAGACATTTCAGCTCCTACGTGATATATATTTTCCTGGAAGACCTCATGTTCTATAAAATTGCACACTAAATATAACAGAGCTTATGGGAAAAATAGGGTTCAAACAGACTGCTTAAACCCTGTGCAACTATGTAATAGTGCTAATAAATGAACAGTTAGTACCTGGGGAGCAACTTGGATCCTCCAAATACACAACATGTGTGGTAGAGGTTGCCACAGTGACTATTTAAAATACCCACAATCACTGGCAATTTTGGCAATGCTTTAGTAAGAATGGGGCCAGAGGATGTGAGAGGATGCTGATGAAGCCAATTGTGGAGCCAGTTGGGCTATGAACCTGGGCAAGGGAGGTAGTGCGGTATGCTCAGACCTGCCCACAGCTGGGTGTACCTCCCTAGGGAGAGAGCCCCAAGGACAGGCATTCACTTAAAAAGTTTGTAAGATAGAGCTGAATGGACTCCTCCTCCTAGTTCAGTGGTTGAACTGAGGGGCTTTTTCTTTTCTTGTGGAAGCTTATAATTCTACTCTTGTGTTTCCAGCTCCCTTTGCCTATGAAAAATTCCAGATGAACAAATGAAGATTATTGTAGCTGAGTGAGAAATACATTTAGTAAAAAAATTATGGAAAGACCAAGCAGTAGGAAAATGTTATTGTCATGTGTTGTATGTCAGTTCTGACTCATAGCAACCCTAGAAAACAATAGAATTGACCCTGTAGAGTTTTCAAGGCTGTAATCTTTATGCAAGCAGATTGCCACATCCTTCTCCCACAGAGCAACAGATGGGTTCAAACTGCTGCTTGTTAGCTGCTGAGCACTTAACCACTATGCCACTATGGCTCCTCAGTAGAACAATCATTTGGAAAGGATTTTTCAGATTTAGTTGAATTACAATGAATTACAATGATTCTTTAAATTTAGTTGAAATATATATGCTATGATTGTATAACACTTGGTATTTCAGCTTTTCAATAAGATCTCAGCACTTTGTTTCAGTAAAATTGCATAATCATAATGATTCTCTTAATAAATTTTTTAGTTAGTAATTAAAATAATACCTGGATTAAAAAAAATATATATTTGGATTTTTAACACCCAATACTTTTTGGAACCTCAAGCTGAAAAAGCTTTACACCATCAAAGATCCTTATACTTTAAAAAGCAAAACTATAAACTCCAACACAAGTGATTCTTAAGAATGAAAAGAATAAATAGAGATGAGGTGTGTGTGAAGACCACATCTTAAGTAAATTGGAGTAAGGAGAATTTTGCCCAAACATAGGTCTTGGCTACATCAGTTCAGGCCATGATGGGATCTGTCCAATGAGTAGGTAAAGGCAATGAGATGTAAAAGGAGTGGCAAAATGTGAATGTAGTTCAATGTGGGTTCCCTCCTATATCTTGATCACATTATGTTGAACAGGATATGTCATAAGCATATTTCAAATTGATGGTATAAAATGTGAGATATTAGCATTGTAGTTAATTTTCTTAATTTGAGGGTACATGTTTATTTTTCAGAAGGAGAGGAGATACTAAAAAGCAAGATACTAGCTTTTGAAGAAATGCGGAAGAGGCTAGAAGAACAGCATGCTCAGCAGTTATCACTACTCATTGCTGAACAGGAAAGGGAACAAGAAAGATTGCAAAAGGTGAGGAATTAAAATATAGGGGTGTTGGGCTTGTAAGTGAAACTTGGCAGCACATACCTATGGATTTCGGTCATGTATAAGATGTGTACTTTCCATTCCTGTATATCTTAATTTAAGAAGGCCATTGTTTTGTTTTGTTTTCCATAGTCTCAATTGTTCCATGTTTTTCTCCCACTTTATCCAAAACCTTCTAATGTGATCCCTTTCAGAGTAGTTGGTAGTGGTAGCCGGGCACCATTTAGTTGTTCTGGTCTCAATGTAGTGGAGGCTGAGGTTCATGTGGTCCATTAGTCCTTTTGACTAATTATTAGGATGTGTGTTTGATTTTCTTCACTCTTCTTTCTGGATGGGAAAAGACCAATAGTTGCACCTTGAATGGCTGCTCATAAGCTTTTAAGACCCCAATCACTACTCACGACAATAGCATGTAGAACGTTTTCTTTGTGGACTATGTTGTGCTGATTGACCTTGATGACCTCAAGATCATGGTCCTGAGCCCCTAGGCCCAGCAACTCATTCCCTTAAGATTTTTGGTTGTGGCCCAGAAGTTTTCATAACTTTGCCCTCTGTATACTTTAGTATATTCATGGATATATTTCCAAAGTATGTAAATATATATGTGGAAATATTCTCTGTCAAACATATATATTTGTGAGTATGGTTCCATTCTTCTTCCCACACCTGTCAGCTTTTGTGTCAATGTATCCACTTGTAGATTATTGTTATTAGGTGACTGTGAATTTACCTATATTGCCTTTAACTCTTTTACTTCTCCCAGTGTCTTCTTTTGCCTAGATTATTTTTTGCTGACCTCCCGCTTATTGTATATTGTATATTTTCCCTTCATTCAAGTTAATATGTGTCTACTCTCTAGTTAATGGTTTACCACCTTTCCCACCCACACCTGGTAACCATCAAAGAATGTTTCTTTTTGTGTGAAAACCTTTCCTTGACTTTTTACAGTCGTGGTCTCATGCAATATTTGTCCTTTTGCAATTGAATGATTTCGCTCAGCGTAATGTCCTCTAGGTTCATCCATATTATGTTTTGTAGATTCAGCGATACTCTTTAACGTTGCATAGTATTCCATTGTGTGTATGTACTATAGTTTGTTTATCCATTCACCTGTTAATGGGCATTTGGGTGGTTTACATCTTTTTGCTGTTTTGAATACTGCTGCAATTAATATGGGTATGCATATATCTATTTGTGTCACGGCTCTTATATCTGTAGGATATATACCTAGTAGTGGGATTGCTGAATCAGTTGATATTTCTATTTCCAACTTTTTAAGGAAGTACAATAGTGTTTTCCACTGTGGTTCTACCATTTGACAATCCCACCAGCAATGTACAAGGGGTCCAGTCTTTCTATACCCTTGCCAGCATTTGCTTTTTCCTGTTTTTTTTTTTTTTTTCTTTAACTTTGGTATTAGTGCTGGGGTGATTTGGTGTTGTTGTTTTGACTTGCATCTCTCTAATGGCTAATGATCATGAGCATTTCTTCATGTGTCTGTTAGCTGCCTGAATGTCTTCTTTGATGAAGCATCTGTTCGTGTTTTCTACCCTTGTTTTGTTTTTTTGTTGTTGAAGTGTTGAAGTTTTCTATAAATTTCAGAGATCAGTCCCTTATCTGTTGCCAAAAATCTTTTCCTAATCTGTGAGTTTTCTTTTTACTCTATTGGTGAAATCTTTGTTGTTTTCTTTTTCAGGCCCTTGACATTGATGCATGTATTGCTAGAATGTCAGGTTTAATATTTAGATCCTGATCTAAAAGTAGTTGCATAATTTATCAAAAGGCACTTTATTAAATTCTTGATGTTTTATAAATGGATGCCAAAATTCATACATAGTATTTTGAGATATAATTGAACAAGATATTATAACAAGATATAATTGAATAAGAGATCTAGCCTGTTAAAACTGTTAATCTGCAGGAAATAGAAGAACAGGAGAAAATATTAAAAGATGCGAAGGCAATTACAGTGGAAGCCTCTAAATTGGACAATAACAATGCGGTGGACTTGGAATGGAGAAAAATAAGTGACTCTGATTTGCTGGAAACAATGCTGTCTCAAATGGATTCACTCCATACTTCAAATAGTTCTGGTAATTAACATAATTTTGGGGGCATACTTTAAAATTTTAGCTCCTTTCGTCAAGTAAGTTCATGTTCAGCCTACTGCTATTTGCCAGCTGCTTAGTAACCAGTGAAAAATGATAGCAACAGATCAAAGAGCAGTAAACAGGTGTTCATGAGAAAAGACCACCTCAGTGAGGAAAATGTCAGGAAATTTGGCTCAGAGCCCAGCCTTTGTTTATTCATATAGCAGATGACAAGCTTCAAGTGAAAACACAATTTGCCATCTCCTGAGTGATCTTGAATTACATCTAATTCCCCAGTGTCTGTAAGAACTTATCTTTCCATCTTTAATTATCCTGAGATGCTGTTTGTGTTGAAAAGATCTATCTGATATATAAGCTTAAAGTCCATAAATATTTGACATCTGCATGTGGATCAGTTTCAGGGGCAGTTGTTATCCTTAGTGAGTGTCACAAGTGCTTATTTGAATCTTCTGTATGTCCTGCCTATATGACCTCAGGTATAATGGTACATGTACATTTCCCTAGGTTTCATGAATCCTGCCCTACAACATAACTTTGATTCTGCAGATGAATCACCATTCTACCTCTGGGGATCATCAACTAGTAGCTTGACCAAAATTTCAGTAATAAGACCTTTTGGAAGGACCAAAAATAAATGGTCTCAGGTGGGCAAATTTAATTATATTTATATAATTATATACATAATATATATATTTCTTAAGAGTGACATTATCTTAGGTTGTGTAAACGAGCTTTTGTATTTTTATAAATGAGCCATACATCAAATAGCTTTTATTAGCGAAGACACTACATAGATCATACAAATATAGAGGAATTTAGTTCTTGTTATTTCTAGTTAGGAATCTTGTTATTTCTAGTTAGGAATTTAGTTAGTTGACTGTAATAATTTAGAAAAGCAATCTTGCCTATAATGTTCAGATTCTTAAAACATTTTGTCTATTTTATTTCTCCTAGGTTTTCAGTCCAGAAGTACAAGCAAAATTCAACAAAATAAGTGCTGTGGCAAAAGGGTTTCTTACTCGTCGGCTTCTGCAGACAGAGAAGCTGAAGCAGCTGCGACAAACCGTAAAAGTAAGGTGATTGTTGTGACAGTTGAGCGGGCGGATTAGTTAAGAACTTAAGTCAGGTAAATTATTTTTTTGGACCCTGTAAAACAGGCAACTTTAGAAGACTATAAATCTTACTCTCGTTTTTTTTTTAATCTCACTTTACAGTGTGTGCTGTTTGACTTCTTAGTGTTTTTGTAATTTGTGTTTTGGATTGATTGAGATAAAGAGCAAAAGGAAAGCCCAGTGATCTTTATGGATCTTTATAAAAGCATGGTTTTTGAAGGAATTTTCTTTTTTCAGGATACTATGGAGTTCATAAGAACTTTTCAGTCAGAAGCACCATTAAAGAGAGGAATTGTTTCAGCTCAAGATGCATCTCTTCAAGAAAGAGTGTTAGCTCAGGTAAATGCACACATCCTGAAGGCTTTTAAGAAGTGAAAGGAGCTCTGGTGGCATACTGCCAAAGGCATTTGAAGGCTAACCAAAAGGTTGGCAGTTCAAACCCACCATCCACTCTGCAGAAGGAAGACGGGGCAATCTACTTTCATAAAGATTTATCACCTTCGAAACCCAGTGGGGGTTACTATGAGTTGGAATTGACTTGATGGCAGTGGGTTTGGTTTTGGTTTTTGGTTTTTAAGAAGTGAAGGTGTTGTATTTCTCTCCCTTTGCTAATTACTGAAACTAGGTTTCAATTAAAACTTTAACCTTTTACTCTAAGTAAAAGAAGAGTACATAGTGTTACTGAACTCTAACCTCATCTTTTTTTCTTGGATATAATATTTTCTTTCTTTTGAACCTAGTTGCGAGCTGCCTTGTATGGTATTCATGACATATTCTTTGTAATGGATGCAGCTGAAAGAATGTCTATTCTACATCATGATCGAGAAGTTCAAAAAGAGAAAATGCTAAGGCAAATGGTATGCTATATGATTTTCTAATGAATAAGGTTATTCTAGGTTTGAGGGGTTTTTGTTACCTGGCCTCAACTCATGGCAATCCCATGTACAGCAGAATAAAGCACTGCCCCATCCTCCATGACCAGTTGTACATTGAACCATTGAAATCCATAGTTTTCACTGGCAGAATCTTGGAAGTCGATCGCTAGCCCTTTCTTACTAGTCTGTCTTCATTTGGAAGCTCCACAGAAACGTGCTCACGTTGACTACACATAAGGAACATTGGCTGGAATTGAACTTGAGTCTCCCATATGGAAGGCAAGAATTCTACCAATAAACCACCATCCCCTATGGGTTTGGGTAATTAATACTAAATACCATTCTCTATTGGCTTCAGCACTCTCACTACAATTATTAAGCACAGATAACTCCCAGAATTACTAGCAAAATTGAAATATGTAGAGAGATTTAAAAGAAATTGGTATAAGAATTGCATCCTGTTTCTTACTGGATTTTGGAGCTCAAGCTTAGATTATTGCTTGATTGGCTTATGAAGACTGTCAGCTACAACTGATTGAATTTCCTTGAAGCTATCTTGTGGATTGTGCCCTTTTTCTTTGGAAGTCAGAGTTAGAAAACAAGCTTAAAATTAGTTAGAAATATATCAGAGTGAGTGTGGGAAGTCTGTGTTGGAATCAGTGTTCTTAGTTTGGTTGGCAAAAGAAAAATAAGTAAAATCTATATTACTTCATTGGGAAAAATAAGATAATTATTTGTTTAAAACTCATAATGCTTCAATTGCTATAAAGAAATTTTAAGTTAAAGTTAAAAATGCTAGTACAGATAAGCTTAGCAATTTGGGATCATCCTGTACTATAATAAAGTAGTAGTATTGGTACTGTTTGAGCTTTATGTTTTTATTTTAAAGGATAAAGTGAAAAGCCCACGCGTGGCTCTTTCAGCTGCAACACAGAAATCTCTTGACAGGAAGAAGTACATGAAGTAAGCTTTTTTCATGTCATATCATACTATTTTAATTATTAAACCAATTAATCTTAGTCATCTGTTAGTCTACTTGTATATTAAATTTTGGAGCTCTGGTGGCATAGTGCCTAAGGCATTTGACTGCTAACCAGAAGGCTGGTGGTTCACACCCACCAGCCACTCCTCAGAAGACAGATTGGGCAATCTACTTCTGTAGTGATAATGCCTCAGAAACCCAAGGAGGGGTCATTGTGAGTCAGATCCAACTTGACAGCAGTGAGTTTTTTAGTTGAGATATTTAAATTAGAAGCAAAGGACAGTTAATTTTCCACAGCTGAACTGATAGAAATAAACGCAGATATAGAATCTGATTTCATCTTTCATAAATACATTTATTACGAAATTTGTCAACATTCAGTTTGTACAATTGATAGCCAATCAAAAAATCTTAAAAACAGTTCATCCTTGTATTTGGGGTTTATCTCTTAAATATATTCTATTTCTTGTAGCTGAAAGACTAATTCTGTTTTGAAAGTATTTTTTAGTACATTTACTGTGGGTCTTTAAGTAGTACACCAGCTTTTAAATGACGATTTGTTCCTATCATACTGTATCACGTTTGTAAGCATGCTTTTTTTCCCCTCTTCTCTAAATATATTGTTTGTGTCCTTATATTGTGTTAGAGCTGCTGAAATGGGAATGCCGAATAAGAAAATTCTTGTTAAACAAAATCCTTCTGAAACAAGGTAAGAAAAATCACTCAGTGTTAGCGAGGGGCTGTTTTTTTTTTTTCCCCTCTCCATAAAAGGAAATTTTATAAATCTCAAGCTTGCTTTTGTTGTTTTTCTTCTACTTCACATCAATAGAACATTCCCTGCTGAGTTGGAGGATTGCAGGTTTAGGATCCACATCAACACCTGGTCTTGTGTCTGGTCACGTCAGACCAGATGTTTGTGGCGCTTTCTATAGGATACGCAATCTCTAGTGGAAATTTGAGCCCATATGTCATGACTTCAGCTCACAGCGCACAAAGGGTGTCTTTAATACTTACTGACTTGTTTTCTGCTCCTATAAAATAATAGTGATATTTTCTAGATGTTTGAGAAGAAAAGTTGACTTTTATGAAGAAGATATGTAAAAGCACAAGGGTTAATACTTAAGTTGAACATCTCTTTCCTGAAAATAATCTCAGTTTTAGGCTTTTGGTGAGCAAAATATAAGTACCATATTAATATGATTTAGTGAATGTCCTATGTTTTGTGGTAATATAGAGGCCATATCATTCCTTAGATGACTTCCACCTCACCCATTGAAAGAATATGGGAGGAAAATGGAATTTACCCTTTGGAATTAATTTTTTATTTACTTTGGTACAGAGTCCTTCAGCCAAACCAAGGACAGAATGCACCTGTTCAAAGGTTACTGAATAGACAAGGGTAAGAATGCCACACACTCTAGTATATAAAAATATTCAAATCAAGAATAGCTTTGACAGGAAAAAATAATTTCAGTGCTCTTTACCTAAAGAATAACTATTTTTCAAATTGGATATTTTCTATAGCATTAGAAAGATCCTTTAAAATTTTTTGTAGACTTCTTTTGTCTTCAAACATAACCCTCTGGGTGTACTGTTGTGTATTATGTTTCAGTTTTCATCTTATGTTGGCATACTTTTACCATCCACTTCATACCATTTTACTTATTATTTAAACAAAATCCCTATAGTAAATCCAGTGTCATTAAAGTGATTATCCAACCAAGTATGAGCCGATGGTTATAATTGCCTGAAGTAAAAGTATAGCTTTTACACGCATGAAACTTAAATTCTTTTCAGGGTTTTTTATGCATTGAACTGTTGAAACAGTGCGATTGCTTTCTTTAAATGTTGAACATTTAGATCCTAACGCAAGTGACTTATTAATTTTTTTTTATATTTAATTAGAACCCCTAAGACATCAGTGAAGGGGGTTGTCCAAAATAGACAGAAGTCTTCACAGAGCAGAATGCCTAACAGAGCGCCTGTTTCAGGTGTGTAGAAAATGATTTCCTGAAACCTGTTCAATAGAACGAAGTGCAAAAGCTGCCCCATAACTCAAGCCACATAAGTGGGGGATATATTGTCTTTTCTTGCCACCATAATTTTGGCAAATTCACAGTGGTTCTATTAGCAATCATTCATGTAAGTATCTCATGCCAGTCAGGAGAGCTTACTTAGTAAAACTGTGGTTCTGGTCTTGACTTCCGTAATAATTTCATGAAGAACTATGTATTTTTTAATCCTAAAAATTTATAGAATTATCCATGCTTAATTTAAAACAAAAACAAACAAACAAAAAAATGCCTTTTTATAAATGAGTAAAATAGAAAGATGATCTGATGCCTACACTGTTCTAAACCTATACATGTCTGTTCAGCTTTGGGGAAGTGTACCACCCACAATCTTTGTATGTGCACAGAAGGGAATGAAAATTTCTTCCTTTGACCACAAGATCACCTGTGAATATGCCAGGGGGCGGGGGTAAATTTTGTTGTTTTTTTTTAATCCTTTGCTCAATAAGAAACTTGAGCTAACTCTCTGAATGGTCATTATTCGAAGATTATTTAAGGGCTAAATTTAAAAATGTATAAAAATTCTATTTTATGGTGGCAAGAAGACAAATTCCATGTTGAGTTAATCCAAACTTCTTAACTTAATGTTTTAATATTTTCTACATATGCTTGTTAAGACCCTTTCATATGCTAACTAAAAATTATGTGATCAAGTCAAAATACTTTGGGAATGTTGCACTTTAACTATACCACTTTCTATACATTTAACAGAAAACTAAATCAGTAGACATTGAAGATTAAATTTTAATCAATTCTAAATTTCCTATTAGTATACAATTATGTATATTTAGAGGTTTTTTTTTTTTTTTTTTACCAAGTGAATTAGGAGGGAACAGACCACCTAAGAAATTGTTCATGTTATTGCTATTTGGTCACATTAATTCAGAGAGAACAAGATGTTGATTATCACTTTGAAATGATTGCTTGCATTTTACATATACATCCCACCCACTGCCATTGAGTTAATTCTGACTTATTGCCACCCCCATTGGGTCTCCGAGGCTGTAAATCTTTGTGGAAGTAGATTGCCTCATCTTCTTCCTGTGGAGCAGCTAGTGGGTTTGAAGGTTTGATAACCTTCTGGTTATCAGTACACATTCCTGTCAACAACTAGTTGTCTTACAGAAATACTAGGTTTCATGTATGTTACCCAGAACTGTTAGATGTCTTACCCACCAAGCCACCAGAGCTTTTTTTATGTATACATAGGATAATGTGTAAAAGGTCTTTTAGAAGTCACACAAGTGATAGTTAATGGAGTAGTTTTAAAGGAGATTATATAGTTGATAATCTTGCCTACTCCAGAGGTAGTCAAAACAACTAGTTTGAAAGTTAACCATTTGAAAGAACTCAGACCACGAACCAGATACATTGCTTGTGAAGTTATGTAGAATTTTCAGACATTTATAAGTTTTTCCCATTTTACTGTTAAATATTGTAATAAATCTTAGCTAATTGGCAAATCGTTGAAAATTAGTATTGTTTTGCCAACAGTATAAATTTGCCACGGTGACTACTCTTCATGTTCTTTTCTCATGCATTTCATCTCTTCCTTTTGTTACTTGTGAATCTGGAAGCCAAATACCAATACTGTTTTGTTCTGTTTTTTCATTTTTTTTTCAGTAATACTCAACAGTATAAATGATGAGCAGGCAGTCATTGCAATAATAATGTACAATAAAATTCAATATTTAGGACTATTGAGGCTTAATTGCATTGCAACATAATTATTAATACAAATGAACTTAACCCTTGAATTAACATGTACAATTAATGTGTATCAAACAAGTCCAAAAATTCTTTATTTTTCTAAAGATTTATTCATATATGAATGCATATTTAGACAATTGAAAGAGACTGAAGAATTTTATCCTTTTTACATAAACTAAGAATTAGAAATATGACTGATTAAAGTGCTGGCTACGAATTTTAACATCAGGTGCTCTTGAAAAGATTACTGTTTCCTGCTTAGCTTTTTAATGTCCTGGGTTATGATTTGAACAAATTCAAAGTTGTGCTTTGATCTGCTATACATAGAGAATAAACCCTTTAGTAAGCAATTTATAGAAAGCACATTTTTAATATATGGTACAATATCTTACTCTTAAGCAGACTTCTAAGATACTTATTGCAAAGCATTTAAAGTTGTTTATAATTTTCAAAAACCATATATATCAATTTCTGTTATCATGTTTTAAAATTTGATGTTTTGTGCTTGACTCAGGAGTTTATAGGGAAATTCAGAAACCACTAATTAAAGCAGAGTAGGAGGTGGAAATGCAAAATGGGTATGTGGAAGAACAATCAGGTGGCTTGGGTTATCAGAATCTTTTCTTCTAAGTATGTTACCTTGAGTAAGTGACTTATTCTTCTCTGCTTCCATTTTGTTATCCTTAAAATGGTAGTTACAATTTCTACCTCAGGATTATTGTATGTAGGGATTAAATGTATATTGCTTAGCTCCCTGCCTAGTGTATAGTAAACAGTCATTAAATGGTATCATTATAGAAAAACTAAGCTTTGAAGAATGATATTAGTTTTGCTTTATTTTTAGGAGCATATGCAGGAAAAATCCAAAGAAAGCGGCCAAATGTTGCGACAATTTAAGGAGACAACATTCACTAGGATAAAAAAAAGGGAAGGCTTATTACCTATAATATTTTCCCTACCCAAGACTTTTTGTTCACCCTAGACTCCCTTTACCCAGGAAAATGATGTCAAAGGGCTGACCAGTTAGTTATCTGGATAATTTGATCAGTCAGGCTAATTCCTAACCTACACCCCCACATTCTTCTTCATAATAGGTTTGGTGGAGACATATTAGTGCTTGGTGATTGCATTATCTCTGTGCTTAACCTGTACAAACATAAGTTTGTTTTATATGTCCAGGAGTCTGCAGAAACCCTTTTCGTAAACTTAAAGGACATTTGGTTTATTTCACAAAATATTGAAAAGGTATGACAAATTATAAATAATTTCTAAGCATAAATTTCATTCATCTCTGCATAATGATTGCTGAATTTGATAAACAAATTAGATGCTGTTCTATTCAAGGAGAAATTACAAAGAATGTTTTCCCCTGATTTTGTAAACTCAAACGCTAATTAGCCATTTATCTGCATATTCTTTGACTCATAGTATTATCATATAGGAGAAAACACTTGCCTGTTCATTGTGGTTCACCTAAAATTAACCACAGATGAAGCTGTGAGTCACCATTTTGGACCGAAGTACACATTCTTTTGAAGAACTAGTTGTCTTACAGAAATGTTTGGTTTCATGTTTGTTATCCAGAACTGTTAGAAGCATTTCCACTGGATTTTGAAATCCTTCCTTACATGGAGGGTAACAAATTTGAGGAAGACAGCACAATCTTCTTGAATGTAGCACTTAGGAATTCATTATTACATTCATTTCTGTAGAATAAGAATGATATATCGCATGCAATTATATTTTGTAGTTAGTCCACGTAATTTGTTCTTAGTCTGCTTTTTCTAGCATGCTTAATTAAAGAGAAAGGGCTATATAATATAATAATTTCAGATTTTCAAATGGGAAAGTAATACTATCTAGTTGAAATTCTGCATTACTTAGAGGCACTGGTGTTACCAAGGGGACTTGATTTCATGAAAGAGAACATCACTGCTAATTTATACCATTTCCAAAAAGGGCTCTGTGCTTCTCACATTAAATTGGAATTGTGTACTGTTAATCTTTCTGACTTAAATTTTAAGACATACTAGTATTTTGAAAATGCAGAATACATATCTGTTTAAGAATATGGAGATGAAGATTGTTTTTTTCTTTATTGAGAATGTATCATTTATTAGATGAATGAACAAGAAAATTAAAAGATAGTAAAAAATAAGTGAGTTACCATTTTTTAAAAAATGTAAGGCAAAGTATAGCAAGTTATTATCTTTTTAACACAATAAATTGTGCTTTATCATTCTGAAAACTCAGGATACAGCTTACTCATATCATTGTGGGTCTCTCCAGTAAGAAGGATAGATGCTAAGTTTTATGTACACTAATTAGCTAAAATAAATAAGTGTTTTGGAGAAAGTTAAAACTAGTTTTAGATTAAGGATGAAAAACTTGAGTGTTTTTTTAATTTAAAGATAAAAGCTTGTGTGTTTTATACATTTTTAATGTTTTCAGCTTTTTCTCATAAAAGTGCCAGACACTGTTTTCTGCTTTTGATGGAATTTTATTTATATATGTTATTTTTTAAATTTTTACTTTGAGTGGAATGTCCATTAATGTAAATTATATTTATTTTTATATTTTAATTTTCACTAGTTTTGCTTCTACGCAAAATGCAAAATAAACTTTTCATCTTAAAGGAAATCTGGTTTGATCTTTTTTGTTTACCAAGGTGGGGGGACTCAATGCCACTGAGTCAGTTCCAGCACATAGCAGCCCCCTTTGGGTTCCCAAGGTGGTAAATCTTTACAGAAGTAGATTGCCCAGTCTTCCTTCTCTGGAGAGGCTGGGGGGTGGGTATGAACCGCCAGCCTTCTGGTTAGCCATCAAATGCCTTAGTCACTATGCCACCAGAGCTCCTTTTTACCAACCAAATCCAATCTAAACCAAGCTCACTGCCGTGGAGTCGATTTCAACTCAAAGCGACCCCTCCTTGGGTTTCCAAGGCAGTATCACTACGGAAGTAGATTGCCCCATCTTCCTTCCACGAGGAAAGGGTTATTAAAGGACAGATAATGAAAAATGTCTGACCAAAACATAAACATTGTAATAAAATTTTTTACGATTAAAAGCCTCCTGAAAGGTGTATGTCACTATTTAATATAGACCCTATACCCATGTGTATGTAGCCCAGCATTTGGGTTGCATAAGTTGGACTTATCAGGAGGCAAAAGTTCACGAGACCTGGAAATGTCCTAGCTTCTTAAGATCCAGAAATCTGCTAAGGGGCAAACAGGAAGTAGAGCAAGAAGGGAGAGAATGCTAAAGCTGAAGCTCACATCAAAGCTTCTAAGTTGCTTTGGGTAGCTTCACATCTCTATGCTGGCTTTAAGAATCTTGTTACAGCTTCATCATCAATGTGGCCATAGTAAGATGCTCCCTAGTTTATCTCTTATTGAGGAGATGTTGCATTGGATGCAACATACAGGGGAGTATGGAAACATGCCTCACTTTCCTATGGCCACCCTTCAGGTCTAGTTTAGTTGAGAATAGTGGATATGCTTTGAAACTTAATTAATTCATCCTGAGCTGAAAACAGGAAGACCTGTTCTGGAAGTGGAGATTTTTTTCCTCAAAGGTTACTGTCATTTGAACAACCACAGGCCACCATACCCAAATGAAAAGTGTTTTTATTGTGTACCCTTGAATCAATTCTGACTCAAAGGACAGAGTAGAACTGCCCCATAGGGTTTTCTAGGCTGTAATCTTGGACACTAGCTGATGGGTTTGGACAGTTTACCTTTTGGATCTCAGCTGAGCACTTTAATCATTGTGCCACCCATCCACTGCCATCGAGTTGATTCCAAGTCATAGAGACCCTCATTTTGTTTCCAAGGCTATAAATCTTTACTGAAGTAGATTGCCTCATCTTTCTTCTATGGAGCAGCTGGTGAGTTTGAACCTCTATTCTTCTGGTTAGCAGCCAAATGCCTTGTCCATTATGCCACCAGAACATCTTATTGTGCCTCAAGTGCTCTGTAAATGAAAATAGTTAGTAAAAAAAATTTAACAAATGGAGTTTAAATGCTTTATCTGTACAGAACTGTTGTTAGGTGCTGTCAAGCTGGTTCCGACTCAGTGACCCTACGTGCAACAGTATGAAACACTACCTGGTCTTGCACCGTCCTTACAATCATTGCTATTCTTGAGCCCATTGTTGCAGCCACTGTGTCAATCCATATTGTTGAGCCATACAGAACTATTCACCAAACCATAGTGGGCATATAGTTTACAAAATAATTTTAAAAAAACAAAGGGGACCTCCAGTCATTGAATACAGCAAGTCAAGCTATGCAGTCACATCCTTGGTCAGATTCTAATGATAGCTCTGAGGGTAAAAATCATGTTTAGCTAAAATTATGCTTGACAATAAAGTATTTCCTTTAATTTTTATCTGCTCTCTTCCTTCTTTGATCAGTGTTTCTCAAGGGCTTTCTACTTTTTAATTTCTCCAGGACATTTGTGAACTGCCATCAGAACCATGGTTTCACTTGTCGAGCTAGGATGGGAAAAATCCCTTAGTCATTCACATTTTGTCATAAGTCTCAACTACCTATTTCAGGATTACTTCTATTAACTGTTTAGTTTTAAAAAGCCCTGGTGGTGGAGTAGTGAAGCACTTGCTGCTAACTGAAATGTCAGCAATTGGAATCACCAGCCGCCTGCAGGAGAAAGGTGGCAGTCGGTTCCCATAAAGATTATAGTCTTGCGCTGAATGTTTAGGTATGTCTAGGCAGGGAGGGGTGTGCCCATGACTGTGGATAGGGTTGTCAGACAATGTCTCTATAAGTGTATTTGTATGTTCTGTAAGAATTTCCAGGTATATAGCAGAGATGACAAGGGACAAGGTTGTAGTCACTTCTTGGCCACAGCCAGCTACCCAGAGGGAGCGAGTAGTTGGACCTCGGGACCATGGTCACAGTGGACATCAAGCTCTTTTAGCATAACATACTACACAAAAACATTGTTCCACATCCTGCTGTAGCAAGTAGTGACTGGGATCTTAAAAGTTTGGAAGCAGCCATCTTGATGCAATGATGGGTCTCTCCTCATCCAAAGCAAAGAAGAATGAAGAAAACCAAGACACATGGAAACAATTAGTCCAAGGGGCTGGTACACGATGCCATCCTCAGCCTATATGACTATGAGACCAGAAGAACTAGATGGTGCCCAACTACCACTGTCAACTACTTGGAGGGGGATCTATGTAGGAGATCCTTGATAGAGTGGGAGAACAACGTGGAACAAAACTCAAAAATATAAAAAAAAAAAAAAAAAAAAAAGACAAGGTTTGTTGGTCTGATAGATCCTGGTAGAACCCCTGAGACTATATAGCCTCTAGCTGCCCTTCAGGTCTGGAATTGAACCCACTTCTGTGGCTTCCAGCCAAAGAAAAGACAGGCATATGAGCTGAACATTTACATTAGGTAGATACACTCCTTGGAGAGATCAATTATGGGAGAACAAAAGGGCTATGTATGCACAGGGAGATAGCTCATGGGGCAGGAGTGCATGGGAGAGGACATGGAAGAGGTGGCTACGGGGAGGAAGTGGGAAGAGAGCTGTTGCATTATGGCAGACTGCAGTCAATGTCATGAGACAGTATATGTGAACTGCTGTATAGAAGATGAATTTGGTCTGTAAACTTTAACCCAAATCACAATAAAGTTTGGAGAAAAAGAAAAAAAAAAAGATTACAGCCTTCTGGCAGTTCTACTCGGTCCTATAGGGTTACCGTGAATCAGAATCCACAGCAACCATTTTTCTGTTGTTATTTATACATGATAAAAAGGGTTTGCCAAGTGGGTGTGGCTGAATATGAATATGAGCACATGATATCTTTCTGCTCTACTGCCTTCCTGAGTTATCAAGCACCCCTTCACTGGGAACAACTTCTACAGTCTGTTACAATAAGAGACCACCAGCAGCACCATGAGGCAGCATGTTAGAAATGCAGAATCTCACGCACCACCCAGACCTACTGCCTATAATCTTCATTTTCACAAGATCCCCATGTGAGTCACTAGCGCAGTCAAGAGTGCATAGCACTTCTATGGAATGTCAGCAATTGGAACTCATCAGCTGCTCTGCAGGAGAAAGGTGGCAGTCTGTTCCCATAAAGATTACATCCTTGGGCTGAACGTTTAGGTATGCCT